TCTCGGGGGAAGAGGTCCTGATGAGCAGTCAGGTGGCTTGGCCACCTCAGCCCAGACCCAAACGTTTCTTTTCTCTCCTGTTCCCATGAGGGGGACCGGTATCTGGCAGGGCCTCTGGTCCACATGAGGTTGCTACTCAGGCCTAGGGCCAAGAGGTCGAGGTGAAGGATGGCAGTGGACCTGGCCTAACCTTGTCTGTGACTTAACTCCCAATTGACCGCAATGAATCAAAGTTTAAAGAGCCGAGAGACTTTAAGGAGTCTTTATTGGAAAGTGACCCAAGTATCAGAGAGCTTTCTTTCTCTTATCTTTGTAGGGAATTTCCTAGACCTCTCCTCCCTCTGCATGGGAATAGCCTGGGATTTCAGAGGAGGTCAGAGTTTGAGAGGAGGCCCCTGGTTCACATCTCTACAAGTGTCTGTTGGTAGTTGAAATGTCTTGTCCGGGAGCCCCCAGATAGCGGCCCCCCCTCACTGATTGTTTCCCAGTTCAAACGTGAACCTTAACTTTGGCTCTCATTTAAATGTCTTGGCCTCTTGGCACTTGTGAACATGCTAGATTCAGGAAACATGCCCCTGCTCACCCCACCACGACCACAGATCCGTGTTTATAGTAGAGGGTTAGTGAATGTTTGTGGTCTAAGGTCCCAAGTAGCTCAGACCTCATGTGACCTATATTCTAAGGCAAGATGCAAGGAAAAGGCCCTTTTTTATCCCCATCAGTGCCATCTCCAAGTGGATCAGGCTGCCTTGGAAGGTGGTAGCTGGTAATGTTGTTTGTCCTTCGTTCTCGAAGAGGACCACTGACATCATGAGGGTGATATCTTTACGTGCGAATAAATTGGATTTAAGTGAAATAGAGTTGCCCAAAGTCATCAGCCTCACTCTCTCCTCCAGAGTCATCAAAGTCCAGTGGCAAGACAAAAGTCAAGATTGGTGATGGCCTGAGATGCAATGGGTGTCCTTGGCCTTTCTACATTCAGGTCTTTCCCAGAGGCCACACCCATTCAATGACCAAGGACTAGGTAAAAATTGAGACAAAAGATGTCCTAATTTACCAACACAAAAATATCAGTCTGGGAGGGGAAGACCTCCCCCCCAAATTTCTGGCCAGAAGAGAAAACAATAGCTATTTACACTCATTGGTAGCTGGTGACCTTTAAGACAAGTCTGGGTGACTCATTGTTCAGGATTCTCTGACTCCAGCCTTCTCTCTGTAGACCACAGAGGTGGCTAAGAGCAGATGTCATGGACCTTAGGACAATTGGTTCTGTCTTTGACTTGGGACCTCTCTGGGAAGCCTTTCAGTCATGTCTGCTGCTGCTGGGCTTTGCGACTCTGAGATCCGCACTGTATCGTGTGTCCATTCTCTGCCACTGGCTGGGGGAGTAGGGGGACCCATTTCCTCCGCTCTTACAGGGCCTTTAAGGGATCTAGGCTTGCTGGGTTACCCTGGTTTCTACTTCTCTTCCCTTAAAAGACTCATCTGACTTTGGGTTGCCTGGTGATCTTCAACTCCATCCCCAGCACCTGTACCCTTGGCTTTCCTCACCCCACCCTGCTCCTAAAGCCAGAGCCATAGCTAAAGGTTTCCATTCGCATAGGCATCCCTACTCCCTCCCCCACAAACAGCTCCTTCGCAACCTGGCCAGACTTAGCCCTGGGACCAGGCAGAGCTGAGCCAGCTGACATGGGGAGGCATGAGGTGTAGGAAGCCCAAGACATAATGTTCAGACACAGTATGTTGCCAGATGACCAAGCTTCTGCCTCTAGGCTTAGAACAAGCATACAAAGTATCCCATCTCTTCCTGTCGTTATCAGTCCAAGAAATATTTCCCAACATTAAAGAACCCTATGGAGATGATGGATTTCAATTTCCTCTCAGCTGAAATTAGGCCTCCCTCCTGACTCCAGAGTCTGAAAAGCCAGGTTCTAATCTTGCCTCTGCTCCTTACAATTTGTATGACCTTGGGCAAGTCACTAAACCTTTATGGACCTCAGTCTCCTTATCTGTAAAATGAAGAGGTTAGACTTGATAGTCTCCAGCGTCCCTTCCAACTCTGGATCTTTGAGTCTGGGATCCCCCCCCCCCCATTGGCCTCTTTGGCCTCCACAATGGTTGAGCACCTCTCCTGGGCCCTTGGACCTTTGTGGTGGGCTAGGAGAGCCTGCCTCCTGCGACCTTGCTGGGAGATCAGGCCAGTGGGGAGCCCTGAGTAGAGCCTGGAGCCTCCCACAGGGTAGCAGTGGAAAGAAAGCTCCTTGGAAGGGAGGCCTGTGGCCCAACACCAGCTGCTATTCTAGGTGCCCAGATCCTATCAGTTAGCCTCAGCATAGCATGAAGCAAATTGTTTACCACTTGTGACACAAGCGTCCATTGTTCCAGAGGCACCCACTGCTCCGGGCATCAGGCAGCTGCCGAGAAGGCTGGCACTGCCCTCTGCAGGGCTACCTGGGGAGTGCTGGGGAGCCCAGCTGGGCTCTGGAGAGCCTTGCCAAAGGGACCTCAGGTGGCTGGGGCAGAGCTGGGAAGAGCCCTTCACTTGCCAGCTCACGTGGCCGTGTTCCACTTACCAGCTCACGTGGCCGTGTTCCACTTGCTCGACATTTCTGTGACTGTGCTGGCTCCTTCTGTAGGCCTGCTGGGCCCCAAATCCAGAGCGCAGACAGGAGGCCATCCTGAGATGACGCCAGATGACGGTGTGAAATGGGAAAATACGGTCCGGAAATCGGGGTACACGATTTCATTGGCATTTATCTTGTCTTCTTCCAAGCAGGCCTGGTTCCAGTCCTATTTGCTGATCTTTGCCCTATTTACAAGCTTCCAGACTAAGAATGACTAATGGAGAATCCTCCCCACCCCCATCCAAATCATCCAGGGCAACTCAGCACAGGTTTACTAAATACCGGCCCCGGACGCCCCAGGGAGATAGGGCTAGATTTGAACTGAGGTCTCTACACTACCAAGCAGGCTCCATCATTCCCCCCCTCCCCAGGAGAGAATGAAAGCTCCTTGGGAGCAGAAACCAAGCAACCCTAGGCTCTCAGGATGCACCCCCCCACCTAAGCAGTAGAGTCTGGTTGGTGGCTAGAGGGCTGGGCTGAGGCTCAGCAGGCCCAGCGTCCTTTGGGGGTGACTGTGTGAGCTTCCGGGCTTCCCGGCTTTGTCCTCTGCATGGGAACAGAACCAGAACACTGAGCTGGAAACTGGAGGCTGGGTTTGATCCAAAGCACGCAAGCTCGGGTAAGTGATTTCACCCCACTGGGCCTTCATTTCTCCCTCTGTAAAATGAGAGGGTTGGAAGTCCCTTCCAGCTCTAAGGCCGGTCCCCAGGACATGGCCTGTCTGGACCCATGCCAGCCCATCCCTAACCCCAGCCCTCAGAAAGTTCATTCTGCACCCAGCAGGAATGCAAGAAGAACATCACGAACTTCCCGAAGTGGTCATGAGATCGGAGCAACAGCGAGTGCGAGGGAAGGGAGCCAGAGAATGTCCCCTTTGCACCCTCCCCCTTCCCCTCCACTGAGGTAGGCTGCATGAGAAAGGGCCCAGCTAATGGGCTCCTCCCCACAGCCAGCCTCTCGGCCAGTACCTGTCCACCCCTGGCAATGGGCAGGTGCCTGGCTTGCCAAAGGCTCCCAAAAGAGAGGAGGGCTTGTTAAGAATCGCCTCCAGAAAGCCGGCAGAGATTACTACTACCCCACGCTGGACACCAAGCACTCCGGGAACTCCCCTACCATCTGTGGCCAAGCACGGTCACTTCTCCCTTGGGTATCTGTCCCCTTCTCTTCACTTAGAGGTCCATCACTCTATACCAGGCTCTCACTGCTTGTGCCCAAACCATTGCAGTAGCCTTCCAAATGGTTTCCCTGCCTCCAGCCTCTCCCCTCTCTAGCCGGGCTTCCACATAGTTGCCAAACTTCCATTTCTAAAGCACGTGCCTGACAAGTCTGACCATGTCACTCCTTCACTCGAGAGGTTTCAGTGGCCCCCTATTCCCTCCAGGATACAATACCACCTCCCTCTCCTGTTTAGCATTTCCAGCTCTTCAGTCTAGCTCCAAACTATCTTTCCTGACTCATTTCATATGGACTGTCTCCTTCCCCCACCTCCAAACTCAACTCTTACTTGCTATTCCTGGTACCTAGAATTCCATTATCTCCTGTCTCCGTACCTTTGCCCAGGCTGTGCCCCATATTTAGAATTCTCCTTTTATTCCTGGTTCCTCTCAAGCCTCAGCTCACCTACTAGAGCCTTTTTCTGATTCTTCCTGTTGTTAAAGCTCTCCCTCTGCCAGGCAGATTGCTTGGTATAGATTTTTATATTGACCTGGTTGCCCACAAGCACAGTAGAATGTGGGTTCCTTGAGGTCAGAGTCCGTTTCCTTTCTGTGTCTGTTTCCCCAGGGTCCAGCACAGTACGTGGCTCTGAAGGCCGGGAGGGGCTTCCTGGCACTTCCTTGTCTCTTCCCTTTGCTTCCTGTCTGTCTCTCTCAGACACAGACTGGGGGCCCCTTTTCCTTCCTTTTCCTTCCTCCTACCTGGGTAAGGGCTTTCATTAGAGTGGGAGCTCCTTGAGGGCAAGCTCTATTCCATTCTTGGCCTTTATATGCCCAGCACACAGTAGGTGTTTACTTGTTGAGTGATTGCTCTTTTGGGGCAAGGTAATCAACCATTTTCCAGTTGCATCTTGGTCTCAAGCTTGGTCTTGAGCCGCTTATCTTTGGAACCCCACCCCATTCCCCAGTGCCATCTCCCCTCCTTTCGTTCATCTGGCTACCAGAATAATCTCCCTTTTGGCAACCCCCAAGCCACAATTTTTGATGTTACTGAGGAAGAGTGGAAAACCACAGTGGCAGCAACGAAAGGGAAACAAAATCCAATCTGGCAGCTAGGGGGGGAAAGTGAAAACACAACAAGTCCTAAGAGAAGGGAGCATCCCGGGGTAGGGGGGGGGAGGGGAGGAGAGGGAGCAGGAGGGAGGAGGAAGAGGTGGAGGAAAGGAGGCCTGTCCCTTTAAGGGGATTGGCTGTCAATCAGAAAGCCCTTTTCTTTGCTGGAGAAGAGGCCAAAGATATTCAGAGTGAAAAAGTAAAGGGCTGAGGAAGGAGAGGAGAGAGCAGCCAGGATTCTTCTCGCTGAACCAAGTCAGCCCCAAAGCGGGAGAAGCCGCCAACCCTAGTTGGAGTCCGGAGTCCCAAAGCCATGGGTGAGTTTGCCAAGAACTTCAGCCACAGACTCAGGAAAGTCTGCTCAGGTGCTCAGGGCAGGTCGGGGTGCCCTCAGGGCTTTTTAATTCTAGGATGGGAGCATTGGGTTTCTAGTGATTCTGGGATCAGAGCATTTGCTTTTGTATGTTAGTGACTCCTTTCCCTGAGGGTGGTGAGTGCATGCTACCTTAGCTCTCCTCATTTCAGAACCCTGCTGGAGAACCCGCCAGCCCCCCGGCCAGAGTTCTCCAGCCAGGGAGGACAGATTTGCCTTTCTCCCTCTGCCTGTCTGCATTTGTCTCCATCTTCTTCCTTCTCCATCACTTTAAGACCTTAGTGGTGCCTGGGCCTCTCCTTCCGGTCTCTCCTGGTCCACAGAGCATGGCCCCTCCTGTGGTACCAGGCTCAGAGCCTGCTGGAAGCTGTCCCTCAGCTGATGGGCTCTGTCATCTCTTCATGGGTTGGTAGATTAAAGGCCCGGAGGCTTTGCTGCCAGGTCCTAGACCCACCGAGAAGCCCGGGGGGTGTCATCCTCTGGCACCTTCCCTCCTAAGCAGGGTCTTTGGGGTACAGGTATCCCAACCCATCTGGCAACCAAAGTGGCCTCCACCAGAGAGTTCACTTTGCTCCTGCAAAAATGCAGGCTTTGCCTGAAAATCTCAATTGCTTCTACAGGAAAGAGGTTCCATCCACATGCAGCTCCAGTGACCCTTGGGTCTCTAGTCCCAGTAAGGCCAATAAGGTCTCAGTAAGATGGGCATCCATGTCCTTCCTAATCCTTCCTGCAGGGTGGGAAGAGAGGGAACATAGTGCCTAACTATGTGCCAGGCATTGTGCTAAGTGCCAGTTTACAAATATGATCCTGTTTGAGCCTCATAAAAGTCCTGGGAGGTAGGTGTTATTATCCCCATTTTGCAGATGAGAAAACTGAGGCAGATAGAAGAAAAGTGATTTGTCCAGGATCACACAGCTAGTAAGTGTCTGAGGCTGAATTTGAACTCTGGTCTTCCTGACTCCAGGCCCAGTGCTCTATCCATTGAACCACCTAGATGTCTCAGTGTACAGAGGCATCTTTTTGCAGTCTTGTTCTGGTAGTGGGGTGTAATAGAAAGAGGGCTGGCAGAGGAGTCAGGAGCCCCCAATTCTGTCACTCATTAACTGTGTCATCTTGGTCAAGTCACTGTCTGGGCCTCAGTGGCCCCCTGTAAAAGAAAGTGTTTGGATGTCCTGATTTCTAAAGTCCCTTACTGCCTCAGATCTCTGCCTTGGCTTCCCCTAGCTGTAAAATGAAGGAATTAGCTTAGATGACCTTTCAGCCCCATGATGTGGTACACTGGAAATGAGGCTGGAGTTGGAGAGGACCAGGGTTTGAATCCTACTTCTGACACTCTGGGCAAGCCCCTTAACTTCCCTGAGCCTTGGTTTTTCTCCTCTGTATAATGGGGCTAATAATGGCACCTCCCTCTCAGAGTTGTGAGACTCAAGAGAGCTAATTTGTGTGTAAGTGCTTTGCCAACCTTGAGGTGCTGCCTAAATGTGGGCTATGATGATTCTTAGGCACCAGATTGCTTCTACCTAGACGTTAGTTTCCTCACTTAGAAAATGGAGATAATAATCATTGCTCTGACCCCTTAATAGGTTATCAAAGGTCTTATGCAAAGCAGTAAATGGGAAAGTTCTTTAAAAGCTGTATTATACAAGCACATGAGGGCTTGACTTGGAGGCTAGCTCCGCCTCCCTGGGGTGCTTGAGCCCTTCCAGAACAACCTCTTGGAGTACTCTAGGTGTTAGCATCAGAGAAATGTGGTCACCAGAGGAAGGTCAGTCTGAGGAAACGTCCTCTGGAGGCAGTGGGATGCTGGGCTCCATTCCCTGGAGAAGCCAAGCATTTGCCATATGGGCCAGGGAAGAGGGTACAGGGAAGTGGTGAGCAGCTCAGGCTCCAGATAGGAAGGGATGAGGGTGAGGAGAGGAGTGAAACAGAGATGCGATGCCTTCTTGCCAGCCAGGCACTGGCTCTGGATTTCAGCAAGACAACATGGCCTCAGCTAGAGGGTACTGCCAAAAGGAGGGGCTAAGCGTCCTGGAACCTGGCTCGGCGATGGGCCACGTTCATCGGCTCCCACCTATCTGGTAGATGGGGAATATGAGAGCCCAATGAGGACTGTGACCCCAGCCAGCTTGTAACCATGATACTGCAGAATGCCGTGTCTGCCCTGGCCCCCAAGAAGGCTGCAGGGATGGGGTTTGGGGAGGCATCAATGACAGGTCCTTATGATTTGGCTTTGGTGGGGGACATTGATAAGAACCACGGGGCAGAAGAAACCCAGAGGAGTGCCACATTCCATTTTTTGGTAACTAATCATCCCTTTTGGAGCAACAAAACTTTGGCTCCTGGAGTCCAGCCTTTAAGACTAAAGACTGTTGCCTGAGAACAGTGACTGTTACCCTGGTAACCAGACATCTTCTGCTTCACTTGAAGAGCTGCTGTTTACTGAGGAGGAAGTTTGGGCTGGCTCAGTATGTGTGCAGGGGGCCCAAGAGAAGAGTCTGAAGGACAGCGCTCATGGCTCAGCCCAACAGCCCAGACCACCAGGGGACAAACTGAGCTCCATCAGCAACCCCGAGGTTGCTCGAGTGATATCAGGGATCAAATGAACGTGTTCTAACTTAACCAATCTGTTCCTGAGATAGCAAACTATGCATTCGGGAGCCCCTTTTGTCCCTTCTCTGCCCTCCTCCCCACCAAAGCTAGGTGAGCAATGAACTCTGGGATAGACAGCAGGAGAGCACCAGAAAGAGCAGTTGAGGGGGTGGGGAGAGGATTCTCATCCCAGAAGGGAGGGGGGCATGGGAAGAGCCCTGGAATGAGAGTCAGAGGATCGATGTAGGTCCAATTCCCACCTTGCAGCATTTTTGGCAGATCACTCCCCATCTTGGCTTCAGGTTCTCCATCTGAATGAGGGGGTTGGACTAGAACAGTGTTCTTTAAGGTTCCTTTCACTCCCTACGTTCTTGGGTCCTATGAGGCAGGAAACCGAGAAAATGGTTTGCCTTTCTGAAGGTATTGGCAGCCAGAAACCCAGTGCTTCTAGACTTTTGGGGGGCAGGGGAGGGTGGGACCTGGAGTGGGGACTTGGGCCCTGGACCCAAACCTATTGGGAGTGGAGCCTGTTCCAAGGATGGCATGCATCCTTCCCTCCTTACAGAGGAGGAAACAGGCTCAGAGACATTTGGATTTGGTCAGGGTCTCCCAGTTCAGCAGCGCCAGAGCAGATGGGTTTGGCTGAGTGTTCTCTGGACCGTGTTCTTACTTCTGCCTTCCAACCATGGTGCTCAAGGAGTGGCAGGATGGTCCAGATGCTGCTACCCCAAAAGGAGACAGGTTCCTCTAGTGGTCATCAAGTGGCAGAACTTCAGGTGCTGTGGATGATCACCTGGTCCGACTGTCTTATTTACCGATGAGAAGACCTAAGACCCCAAGAAGAAGGGGCATGGCTAAGCTTCCTAGTGAGGCTCATTACCTGACCTCAGGCACTGGCCATGCTTCAACCCCAAGCCCGATCCCCTTGAAGCAGATGTAGTAGTACATTTACATTTGTCTAAGGTCACACAAGGTAGTAAGTGGCAGGGCCAGAATTGGAATCCAGTTCTTGGGTTCCAAGCCTAGCACTCTTTCCGCTGTACCACGATGCCTTCCCAAGACTATCAGCTCCTTGAGGGCAGGCACCAGGATGCATCATTTATTTTCTTCATGGATTCTTGTCAGAGTCTTCTCAACTATTACTGTTTTTCACCATAACACATTTAAATCTTGTTCTAAAGTTTGTAAAGGATTTTTTTTTCCAAATGATATTAGGATGTAGGTAATACAATCATTATTGTCCCCATCTTCAGGTCCAGGGCACTTTGTGTTGTGCCAAGATGTTTTCATGTAGCAGAAAGTATGGGGGACTGGGAATCAAGAAAGACTTAGATTAAAATTCCATCTCTGGAATCCCTAACCCTAAATGTGTGCTGAATGACCTTCTGAGCCTCGGTTTCCTCATCTGTAAAATGAGAATAAGTAGTAGTATATCAGTAGTCAAAGGTTTTATTGCATTATCCTGAGGAGTCTGGGATTATGACATCTCTCTGTGGATGTCAAATAGTTTCTCCTGAAAACTCTGAAGGCCAATATGTTCTTGACAATAAAAGATTCTAAAACGGAGAACATGTGCCTCTCCTAGATGCAAGCAAACCATTTGACCTTCTGCACTGTAAATATCGACATATGCCTATCGGATCTCATTTAACCAGACTCCGTAAGGAGAGCCGATGTCAGCCTTAGCTGTAAGGGGACCTTGGATTGCCATGTGCATTCCAGGTGCCCATATTCCTGGCGTTTCCTATGTGGGGTCTGAGGTTTGGAGACATAACTAGGGCGGGGCTATTGGGGCTGTTTGCTCGAAGTTTCTGGGCCCTGTCGAAGAGCTCTCACACAGATTCCTTCAGCAACATTGATGCCAGTGGAGTAACTAAGCCCCTTGCCCCCACCTGACTTTGCTTTAATTACTTCCTTTTGATTTTCATACTATGAACTACAGAGTTGCTTTTGAGGGTGCTTTCCGGTTGCTTGCCCCAGGAGACAAAGTTGCCGATTGTGGCTGTTGGAGCAAATGACCTTGTTGCAAACACTGATTTTCACTTCACTGGTCCTGGTGCTGATGCTGGTGCTGGTGTTGGTGCTGGTCCTGGTGCTGTCCCTGATCCTAGTGCTGATCCCAGTGCTAATGACTAATCTGTGTCTGTCCTTAGTTGGGTTTCCATATTATCGAGGAGCTGTTTCTAGCTAACAAGCAACAGATTTATCCAGGGCTGTTTATTTTAGCCTTGACATTAGATTTTTCTTGCTGAAACTTCTGCTTTTCTCTCCCTTTGTTTTCAGCTGCAAATGAGGTACCAAGAGAGGTATGCTAAGGTGCTTGAGGTCTAGGGAAATGCAGGATTAAAGGAGGACAGAGAAGCAGTTGGCAAGCCAAGCACCTCCCTTCCCCACTTCCCCAGCCTTTGCTGGAGCTAGGAGCATCCCAAAGGAAAGTCTTCCAGCTATTTGGAGGGGCATACACATTCAGAGCAAATGTGCTAGGCTTGGGGCGGGGCAGAGCTTTGGTCCCACTGGCTTTTACTATATGGCCCTGCCCTATTTGGGGCAGCCTGGACAGTGGCTGGTGGTTGCTGTGGGTGGCACCCTTAACCCTCCACTCACCAGAGAGTCCTTTTATTGTTACCTATCGCTCCTCCCACCCTCAACCCCTAGCAGCAGAGTCCTAAGGAGGTTGGGGAGAGGTGGCCCTGGTACAATAAAGCTCCTTTGTCCTGGAAATTGTGGAGTGCTCTAAGTCCTGACCTTGTGCCAGGGTGAGAAGGGAGTAGTGGGGTCACTGACCCCTCCTAGAATTGAAGGGCCCTTCTTTAGGAGAAGAGATTAGGATGAGAGAGAACAGGGAGGAAGAGGCAGAGTTGGAGACACAGAAGGAAAACATCAACACTGTCTACCTCAAAATTTCCTCTTCTCAACTCAGAACGAAAAAGAATTAGGACTGCTTGGGAATAAGGAATGTACCTTTCCTTCACTCCCAAAGGCAGAAGACTCATTTCAGGGGCTGTGCTAAGAGGCACCATCTCTCTGTCACTCTTACACATTTGTGTAGGCCCAGGCCTGTCAAAGCTCTCTTTTGGAAAGTTCTTGCTGGCTAAACTTGGCCTCCATTCCCAGCAGTGACATGACACTGGTATCAACACTGTTCAGATCTCAGTAGAGTTCAATGGTCAGTTTTGGGCACCACATCTTAGAAGGGCCATTAACAACCTAGACGATGGCCGAAGGAGGGAAGCCGGAAGAGTGAGGACACACAGGCCAGAGAAGAATTGGTTGAATAGTTAAATGAACTGGGAATGTTTAGCCTGGAAAAGGAAGAGGAGACTTGAGGGGTCGGGTGGGCATGACAGCTGTCACATGGAAGAAAGATAAGAATTGGACTTTTTGAAAGTGTTTTATTTTATTTTTACATTGCTATAAAAAATGACTTGCCTCCCTCAGTCCCTCACCTCCCATAACTGAGAAGTATACAGTTGAGCAAAGCAGACACACGGATGGTGGATGACAGCAAATGCCTCCATCATCTGCCAGTGACTCCTCTGGAGCTGAGAGGTGTGAAGCATGCCCCATTCAGGTCAATGCTGGATCTGAGTTCCAATGTCCTGCCGTGGTTTTCCTTTCACAGTCCTGTGGACATTGTAGATGCAGTTCTTTTGGCCCTGTTCGTTGTGTAGCAGTTCAGATAGAATTAGACTTAGGCAGTTTGGTCCTGGAGGGAAGAACTAGGAACCATGGGTAAAAGTGACAGGAAGGTGGGTTTTAATCTTAATAGTAGAAAGCCCAAACTTCCAACCTTAAGTACAATGCACTGCTTCAAAAAGTATTGAGCTCTGAACACCTTTAGGTAGAGGCTGGATAAACACTAGTTAAGGATGGTATAGACAGAGAGGATTCCTGATCTGTATCACTTTTGTAGATATCTGAAGTATATGGTTGAGTGAAATAGTCACTTTGCCCAGAGGCTGAATCCTCTGATGCTACTACTACTACTACTACTACTACTACTACTACTACTACTACTACTACTACTACCATCACTACCACTACCACTACTACCACTACCACTACCACCTGCAATAAAGATAATGATAATGATAATAATAATCTCACGTGTATTTAACCGTTTAAGGTGTGCAAAGGACTTTATACACATGATCTCATTTGATCCTCACAACAAGCCTGACATAGTCATTGTAGTCAAGGAACCTGATTTTATTGCTAATATGACCGCTGACTTCTGTTTGGGTTGGGTTTTGGTGTTAATATGTGGGCTTTTTTAAAAATGTAATTTAATTCTTATTTTCAGTTTCAAATTCTCTCCCTCCTTCCACTGGCTTCCCCTACCCATTGAGAAGGCAAGAAATGCAATACTCATTATACATATGAAGTCATGCAAAACATATTTCCCCATTAGCCATGCACAGCCTACTCTTTGGTATGCTCTGAGGTCCAAGCCAGTGCTGCAGGGCCGATGAGTGGTAGGAAGTAGAATTTACCTATTTAACTCTCTGAGTCTCTGCTTACTCTCTCTACTGAAGACATTGGACTCAGGGATATCAGAGGTGCTTTTTAACTCTGCCAGTCTCTTTTTAACTCTTAGCCCTACCTGGGACTGACATTCCAAGGATCACAGTGATTCTATGCTTGCTCAGTGAGTGAAGGCAATCTCACCAGGCTTCAGATTTCCACTGAAGTTTCCAACTGGACTGTGCCAATTATCATTTTGTGTCCCTATGGCCAGGGCTGAAAAGAAAAGGCTCTGGGTCTGAAGGAAATCCAGCAATGGGTTCCTTCTTTCCAGGTAGACTTTGCTTTAAGAAAAGCCCTCACATGAACATTCCAAGCTGACCAAATAGATACATTTTCTTCACTTTATAAAGGGATCCAGAACAGGCTTATTTGTTTTAAATAGCAAGGCACCCTAACACTTGAAGCATGATTTGAACTTTGCTCTTCCTGACTCCAAGTCCAATGCTCTGCAAAATATGACAGGGAAAAAAAGTGTTTAGATGGATTTCTCCCCTTGGATAAATGGGGAAGGAGCAGTCAGTCACGTTATTTCCTTCTGCCTTTTAGGGGTCCTATGAAGAGGAGGCCCATCCCAGGCCCTGACCCTAGACATTTTGTGGGTCACAGGCTTTCCGAGCCATTTGGTTCCCCGCTTGGCCTCTGCTTGGCCTCTTCTTTTTAGCAGCTCTCTGGATGATGGGGGCAGTGACTGGGGGCAAGCTCTTTCCTACATTGAGTCACAAGCACACGCTACTCTGGTTGGGTCAGGAGACTTGGTTTGGAATCTTAGCTCCATCGGGGACTGTTGGCACTTTCAAGACACCTGCTTCCCTTCCCTTGGGATATTCTCCTCATCACAGAAAGGCAGTTCACACTTTATTGCCTTCTTATAAAGTCTCTTTATAGCTGCTTGGATAGGATCACAATGTGGTCCATTGGCTGCTGAGATCGGCCAAGCTAGGATACAAGGAACAAAGTGGCCATGCAAAATTTAAAGAAATCATTAGGCCTGGAGACAGTAATACGCTGTTTACATTTGCCAGTGTCATCTTCTCCCCTGGTAGTCATTTCTACCTCCTTGGACCATCTCCCATATTCCTAAGCTAAGAGAACACAGATATTATCCTGAGTAAACTCATTCTAGGTTCATGCAGCTCCCTAATCCAGGTAATGCCAACCATGCACCATGGTGAGAAGGAGGGATGGATGGAAAGAGAGTGCTGGGTGTGAAGAGAGATGGACCTTGGTTCAAACTCAATCCCCACTCCCCATGGGAACTCCTGAAGGTCAGGGGCTGCTTGCTCTTTGGTTTTGTGTGCCTAGCACAGTATCTGACACACAGTGGGTATTTAATGGATGTTTGAGCTGAAATGAAGCCCCTCCCTGAAACCTCACTAACTGTTCAGTTTTCATCTATTCTTTACCCCTCTGTGGCACAGTGAGAACAAGCAACCAGGAGCATGGATGATTCTTTTTATGACCCATCTCTCCAAGCTCAGCTTACATTATAATTCCTCCATTTAGCCCAAAGGGACCAAGCCACTCACTCAGAGCTCCTGGAGCCTTTGTCTTTACCGTCTATGTAGCACCTTATATTGTCGAGGATCTAGTTGGAGTCGCTTTTTGAAGGGCAGAAGCTTTTTGAGGGCAGGATATACCAGAATTGCTCACAAAGTCCTTACTGATGGAACAGAAAAATAAAGCAAGGGAACCGAAAGGAGAGGCTGCATAGATTGAATCTCCCCCAGGTTCATCTTGATTTCTTGTGGGTCTTTCTAGGCCTGGTTTCCTTTTGTAGTATTTGACGAATACATTTTTTGGACTTTCAGGGAAAAGTTGTCACTTCCCTTGTCTCATTCTGGCCTAAAGTCCACCAGCCCTCCACTGAGAGGAAGGAGGTCTATCTGTGCATTCGTTTTCTGGAGTCATTGGTCAACATGTTGAGCTAAGCTCTGATGTCTTCTTTAGTGCTTTCCTTTACATTGTTGAAGTTTTGCATGTTGTTTTTTGAGTTCAACTTACTTTGTTTTGCTTTAGTACATATGAGTCTTCCCAAGCTTCTCCGAATTCTTCATCTGCTGCAATTTGTTCGGCCAGTACTCAAGCAGCAGGTGCAACCATATTTTTGAGCCTGAGATAAAACAGGGGTCAGTCCCTTGCCGATTCCAGAGCACTGACTGAGTCTGGGATTTCTGGATCTAGCCTGGGGACTTGATGTAGCTACTCAACGGAGTTTATGAGTATGAGGATGGGGTGGTTTTGCGGTGTGATCATAGTTGCCCCAAACCCTTACTTTCTTTCTCCCCTCTCGCTTAGGCTTGTTAGAGTGCTGTGCAAGATGTATGGTCGGGGCACCTTTTGCTTCCTTGGTGGCCACTGGGCTGTGTTTCTTTGGGGTGGCCCTGTTCTGTGGCTGTGGACATGAAGCACTGACTGGCACAGAAAAGTTGATTGAGACCTACTTTTCCAAAAACTACCAAGACTATGAGTATCTCATGAATGTGTAAGTACCTTCCTTTTGTCCTCCCTGGAGATCTGTTCTGCGCCCTTCCTCCCCACCCCAACTGTGGCCAGAACTGGCTGTTAGATTTAGCCCCTGATGTACCATCAGGGACTTGATGCTCAGCAAGACGGGATCTCTTGAGCCTTCTTTCTGGGGGCTGACCCCTTTCCAGCTCCTCCTGAGGAAGAACTCTCAAGCTCAGAAAAGAGCAGACTGCCCACCTACCTTCTGTTTGCTCATGTATTTTCTGTCTAACTTCTGCTAGGTGTGGTGAATATGATTGAGTTGGACCTTCCATCAGGGTAGGTATGGTGGACTCAGGGGAGGCACGTTGGCTGCTGCCCTTGGGGCTCAGGCCCAGGACTAAGCATCTTTCCCCCAAGCTTCCTTGTGTCCTTTCTGGGTGATGTTAAAACAAGTTAGATACCTACTCCATTCATCCTCTTTCTTCACCTCTAGCTCACCTCCTGTCCTGTCTCCTTTTGAGGTAGCATCCCAGAAGGGTTAGGACAAGGAGAGTAGCGCCCAGGTACTTGGGAATACAGGGTAAGTGAGGATGGCCAGTGGGCTGGAGCTGGGGTGTGTGTGTGTGCCACTGTGGACATGCTCTCTTTCTCCATCTTTTCCGCTGGGGAGGGGGAGCAGACAGGGATCCTTCTAAAGAGCATTTCGAAACATCGTCAAGCACTTTGTTTTGCAAAGGAAGAGCTGGACCCTGAATAACAAGGCTTTTCCTCCCCTACCCTTTCTGTGTCTGTTACTCCAGGATCCATGCCTTCCAGTATGTCATTTACGGCACCGCCTCTTTCTTCTTCCTTTATGGGGCCCTCCTGTTGGCTGAGGGTTTTTACACCACTGGTGCTGTCCGACAGATTTTTGGCGACTACAAGACCACCATCTGCGGCAAGGGCCTGAGCGCTACGGTAACAGGGGGCCCGAAGGGGAGGGGTTCCAGAGGCCAACATCAAGCTCACTCTTTGGACAGGGTGTGTCATTGTTTGGGAAAATGGCTAGGACATCCCGACAAGGTGATCATCATCAGGGTTTTGTGGGAATAACAAGGGGTTGGGATCGTTTGGGGTGAGTTTGTGGCCTCGTTCCAGCCCGACACTGGGCCCTCTGCAGGGGCCAGCTGTTGAGGCCTGGGAGGGTGGCCACTCTGGAGCAACAGGGTCTGGAAGAACGCGGTGCCCAGCCAGCTCAGCCTCCTTTTCCAACGGGCCCCTGGCAAAATCAGTTTCTAAAAGGACAAGGTGGTCTTGGGAAGTGATTGCTCAAGCATGACATTTCTAAGTCCTCTGCTGGCATGCTCTTTTTCCTCCTAGGCTAAGAAGCCATTTTCTCAGAGAGGCTCAATGAAGCACTAGCCTTAGACTGGCTCAATTTCACATCTGCTAGAGTTATGCTGAGGTGTCCGTGATATGACTGGAGAAAGAGTTGTGGCAATGAAATGATTAGCAGGAGTCAGAAGCCGGGCAGGCCTGGCCTCCCAGCCTGCTTCTCAGGCCCTCAAAGGGGTTGTACTAGATTAGATTGCTCCACACAGGGAGTCTGTAACAGTCCCCTGCTAAGGCCGGGGGTGGTCCCCATGTTCTCCATCAATACTCTAAGGAGCTACTACCCCCCAGCCGCCAGCACATGGCTCAGAAAAGTTGTCTGTGAGCCCCAGCTTCAATCTGCGATTGGCTTTGGGTTCTGTTTGGGGCCAGAAGAGTTCCCAACTGGGAATGTTTTCCAGGCTCAGCCTAAGGCAGGAGAGAGATGGGGCACAGCTTTCTTTTGAGACCTGCTTTGGGGTTTTTGTACCTTCTCTGCCCAGGAACTAACTTTCACACCTCTCTAACCCAGGGTCCCCAGGGAGATAACTGTCCCATGCCATCTTCTCATATTTCAATTGTTGGCGATCTCTGGTGTCTGGCACACACCACTCAGGGATCTCCAGGCTCGCGAGTCTGATTTCAAGTGCTTCCTCATGGTAACCTCCCTTTCTTGGTCATTTGGGTTGTTTTTTCTAGTTCGTGGGCATCACCTATGCCCTGACAATTGTCTGGCTGCTGGTGTTTGCCTGCTCTGCTGTGCCTGTCTACATATACTTCAACACCTGGACAACCTGCCAATCCATTGCCTTCCCCAGCAAGACCTCAGCCAGCATAGGCAGTCTCTGTGCTGATGCCAGAATGTATGGCAAGTAGAACCTGGTGGACTGGGGAGCCTGGTAGTCAAGACATGAAACCTGGGAGGGGGGGGAAGGCAGCAGTCCCCAAGGGCATGGAGGAGGATGGGTCATCTGGCTCTATCTAAAACATGGCACCACTAAGCCAGAGAAAAGACAATTCAACAAGCGTTTATTTAGCATCTACTAGGTATAAGACACTAAAGTAAGACAGTCCCTCCCCTTAGGAAGCTTATACAACATAGACACAGATAAGTAGAGACAAGGGGAATTTGCTTGCCTGGGTTTAATGCTGATTAAAACATCCCCAGAAGGCAGATTCATCTCTCTGCAGGCTTGATTTTCATCTTTTTTTTTTTTTCATCCTTACCAAGTAAATTGAAGCCTGAGTAATTTTCTCCCTAGGGTAGGCCTTCCTTGGAGATAGTGGGACTTTTCTAGCCTGGTCTTACTGCTGAAGGATATGGCTATTTCCACAGCAAATTGGCCCCTAGGCCCTACAGACTTCCAATGGAGCATTCACCTTTTGGGGCAGGGCACCTAAGATCTTCATCTTCCTAGGAAGAGCACTGATGTCTGCAAGAAGACTTTCTTTGGGTTCCAGACCCCCATTGAGTGGACCATGACTCATATTTGTCTTGCACAGGTGTCCTCCCCTGGAATGCTTTCCCTGGAAAAGTGTGCGGCTCCAACCTTCTGTCCATCTGTAAAACTGCGGAGGTGAGTGGCCCGTGGAGGTTACTGGCATCGAGGGCTCCTGCCTGTGACCGTCAGCACAGGGCATTCTCAGCAATGGCACCATGGGCTCATCTGAGTCACTCCAGGCTTGGGCTAAGTTGATTTCCCTTCCCTCCCCCCACCCCCTTGCCCCGGAGCAATCGACATCTTTGAGGAAGGCTGGGCCCAGGGGCCAAAATGGCTCAAGGGAAAGGACCTGAAGCACTTTTTGGGGAGAAGGAACTTGCTGCTTTTCTTCTGGGGAAAAGACAAAAAGCTCTATGCGGTTTTGTTCACAGGTTTTGCAAAGCCAGTCCAAACTTTCTTTTAAGAATTTTTATTTTATTTTAAGAATAAATCAAGATTCTCTTCTTAATCCCTGCTGGGAGACAGAGGTGCTATACTCAGAAGAAGTAGAAGAGGGGTAATTCCCAGGGAGGAAGGAAGCGGGCTCATGGGCATGCCTAGTAGGCAAAGAGCTGCTGGTTTGGGATGATGAAGGGATTTTTAGGAGAGCGTTAGGCACCCTAGGACACTCTGCAGGGGAAAGCAAAGAAGGCTCAGTGCATGTCCTCAAAAAGGTCCCCATGTAGTTGGGGATACAGAATGCACATGTGAGCCGACACCAGGCCGTCCACGTACTGCTTTCCTGGCGTTCAATGCTGGCTGTTTCCTTGCAGTTCCAAATGACCTTCCACCTGTTTATTGCGGCCTTCGTCGGGGCTGCAGCCACCCTGGTTTCCCTGGTGAGTTTTAAGCCTTTGCTGTTATCTTGGCAAATGTCCTGGACTAGCTTAGGTAATGACCCTGCCTGAAGGCAGGAAGAGATGTCCTATTGGCCCCAGGAGACAGCCGTGGCCAGAAGACACTGCTAGAATACAATGAGCTGTGTGCTCTGGGCTGCTTCAGTCTGATAACTGGTATCAAGTCAGGAAAAGCGGATGGGAATGAGAAAGAGGACGGCTGGGAAGGGCCAGGAGGTCTGGAGGAGCGCTCAGGTTCAGTTCAGAGGAAGTGGCTGCTGGTGGGCCTCCACTGAACACTTGCTAGGATGTCAGGCTTAGGCGAGAGGTGGAGCCGTTTCCCATAGGGAAGCAAAGAGGCCCGACTGTCACTCTCTCCATCTTGCTACAGTCATCTGACATCAATAGTATCGATAGTATTGCTGTTTTAAAAAAGAGGCCCAGAAAGATTCATTAACTTGCTCCTACTAACAAAGCAGAGAGCTGGACCTCTTAGTCAGAAGAGCTGGGTTCAAGTCCAGTGCTCTTTCCACTATGCTTTGAATACATGCGACCCGGCCACTTAAAGGAAGCCAGTCAGAGAAGGTGCCTAGCCGAATCTGCAGGAAAAAGGACTAGCCACATTGTTTTGGGTAAAACAGAGAGTTTTCCTGATGATTCACGCTCTTTCTTATTTTTCACAGCTCACTTTCATGATTGCTGCCACGTACAACTTTGCCGTCCTGAAACTCATGGGCCGAGGCACCAAGTTCTAATGTCCAAGGCAGCACTTCCCCAGAGTCCCCTTTCTTTCTCTAACAGCCGGGATCTAACCACACGGCCCGGCAATGCTGCATCTCCCATCTTAACTCTCTGCCTGCAGTGCTGACTGGCCCTCCTCATAATCAACAAGTATAACAAGAAAGGAGAGACTCCATGCTGGAGGCCATTCTCTGTCATCTCCCTTCTGTCCCTCTGTTAAGCATTGGCCTTTCCAACTCTTCCTGCTAGAAATGGGAAATGGCAAAGAACTCGACTTCCTGGTACAAAGAAGTGTTCAATTTTTTAAGCATCTCCCAAGGACCAGGTGGTGCCTTCAAATCACCAAGGCCCTTCCATTGATGGGAAAAAAGGAGAGAGAGAGAGAGAGAGAGAGAGAGAGAGGGAGAAATCAGTTTCTCATCACCCTATATAGGGGCCAGTGATCTCCTTGTTCTATACAATGGAGCCCTCTCTCCTCTCTTCTTCCTACCATTTGAGAAGGGAGGATTGCCCCTGTAAACATGTGAAAATTTGCCCAAATCTGCCTACTGCAGCTGGGAGAAGAGGGTCAGAGCAAGGATCTTTCAGCTATGAAAAGAGAGCATTGACCCTGATATGATGGAATATTTAAGCCTTAACTCATCCAACCCTACTTATAGCATAAGGGAACATGGCATCTGTGTAGATGAGGGGACCCTCAGCCTTACACATTGATAGGAAACAGCAACATTAAGCTCTTAGCATCTTATCACTAAATAACCGTGATAATAGTATAGCTACCATGACAACCCTGTGGTTTCCAAGGAGTAGAGAAGAACACCCGTTTGCATGAGAGACACTAATCCAAAGAGAGCAACGGACTGATGGTTCAACCTAAGATGTCCCTCTTCTAGCCACCGGCTGACTCTTTGGATTCCATGCCTCTGCATGCCTCCCCACCCCACCCCTACCCCATTAACCAGCTGTGTACGATGCCCTCCACTTGGTCATACCTTCACAATGGTGCTCTTTTCCTGGGGTGGTGTTTGTCTGGTAACCAGTCAGTGGCTTGAAGATCTTGATTTGTTTCTGACTGGAGGAAATGTCACATTTCCCATTATTTTCTCATTCTTTACAACTTTGATCTCGTGCCTGCAAGAGCTGCAGGATAATTGTTTGACTATTAAGGTTGTTTTTCTTTTATGGGAAAAGGGACAGAAACCATCCTGAGTACTATTGAAATATGGCCATCTCTGTGCAAAATGCAAGGCTACAGGCGGGGCCTTTGGTTAAGAACATTGCTAAGCTGCCCTTTTGCACTATGCAAAACAAAACTCCATTTGAAGAACCAACTGGGTCATTCTTTCGAGCCAGGGAGGGAAGATGTGATTTAGTACTGTCCTATGGTATTTGAGAGAGGGAGGGAGAGCGAAGTGGGGGAGAGAAAGAGACAGAGAGTGCAGCTAAACAGAAGAGCATGCTCTCCCTCATGAAAGTCACGTGAAGTGCCTTTCTAAAGGCAAAAGGGCCAGAGAGGAAGGCATCTGGAAGTTGGGCAGCCAGCTCGGGCAGATTCATCCTCTCTTCCTTTCTTTTTCTGCTTGGATTTTGTTTATTTGGTGCAGGACTGTAGCTCTTATTGCAAGATTGCGTCCTTCCTTTTTTTTTTTTTTTTTTTTTAATTTTCCCAAGTAGCTTCGGCAGTATTCATGGATATGTGAGATCTCTTCAAAAGGACAACACATTTCTTCAAACAAGATTAGATAAGCTGTGTGGGGGAGGGGAGGGAAAAGATTTAGTAAGAAACCAATCAAGATCAAGGAAAGTAAAAGTAGTCTAGGCCTTGAGTTTTCTTTTGATTTAACTTAATAACCAACCTTTCCTCAACTTCCCTCATATGTATACACCCCCACACACATTTATATACCCACACACAGTATTTAATCGACTGAAAGTATCTTCTTCATTGCTGATTTAGAATTTCAACTTTAACATATATAAAGGATAAAATCTTTAGAGCCTTCTTACAAGATGAATTTTATAAAATTAAAGAAAATAAATTAAAATTGTTCTCAATCAAATGAAGTTGTCTGAGTGAGTAGTTTTGTTTGGCACCCTCATACGTATGGTAGCTGATGAACAGCCCTAGTGTTGGTTTACCCTGAAACAAGCCTGTGGAATGGTTTTTTGGTGGCAAGCAGGGGGATGATTCCATAGCAAGAGTTCTGGCCAGGGCAGGCCAAACGAGACCAAGTGTTCTTAGCTTACACAAAATGTTACCTGAGCTTCCTCACAAATCTAGTAAAGGCCAATACTCTGATACTGGTCTTCCTCCTCTCCCCCCAACTAAGAATTGCCTTTTCATATTAATGGTAGACTCTCTGCCCCTACTACCACCTTACCTCTCAAGCACCTTTGCCTAAGGCCTCAATGGCCTAGCCGGGAAAGAATGTGGTAGGAGAGGAATTTATGGATCAATCTGTCAATCAGGAGGAATTGGGGTAAGACAGGACAGACCTCAGGGGACTTTCCTCTGAAATGGTTTTTATTGAACCTGCAGCTAAAAATCTTCTAGGCCAAGTTGTTTGGGCCACTTCAAGACAAAGTCACGAGAAGAGATGCTTTTTGGGTGCTTGACCTTGTCTGTGACAGCCTTGATTTGGGGTGCTAATACAGGAGGAAGCTTTTGTCCTTGGTTCCCAAGGAAGTCATGTTCTCCAACCCCCTGGCCTTGGCCATGTCCTCTGAGACTGATCCAAGCTCTTAGAAACTCCTCATAGAGAGAGCCCTTTGTTCTCTGTTCTCCCACATATCATAACCCTCCTTTATCTACACTGAAAGAGCTCTCTTTGTGCTCTGCTCAGCCAAAGAGCAACATGCAGCAGTGTAAACCAGAAACATTTGCTTACAATTCTCAAGGTCAGGACATAGTGGTCGCAGTCATGTGGGGGGAGTGTGTGGAAGCCTTGGCTTCATCCAGCACACACTGAGCTCTCTGAGCAGGCTGCAGTCAAGAAACAATCTGATGGGCTGGGAGTAGTAGGCGGATGAATTATGAGGGTGCACCGAGGGGGTTAGGCTTGAGGGTGGGGACGGGGGTGGCATCCCACACCAAACCCATGGGAAAACAAGACGGGATTTTTTAGCCCCGACAACTTGTGACTCGGTTCCCTGTCTTTCTGCCTTACATGTGACAGTGTTCATGCACACAAACACACATATTAATACATGTGCTGAAGCCCACGGAACGCACGCACGTGGTCTGGGATTCAAAGAAATAAAAGCTGCTTAATTGGGCTGCCTTCTCTCAGTCCCAAACAATTCTCAGAATTCAAGGGGAAAATATAGGCAGCAATGCCTACCCTCATGCACCTCTCCCCCAGTTTTCCCCCTTTTGAATTTTGCTACTGTCAGGCATCCCAGACTGCATTTTTTTGTCCCTAACAATTGAGTCATCAAATATTGAATGATATCCTGAAAAAAGAAGTCCATTTTCCAAAACAGTGGGATAGAATCATTACATTGCTAACAGCACAGAAGAGTGTTGCTCCCTAGCCACAACTAGGGATCTCCTCACCGTGGGGAACGAGAGCCGGGGAGAAGGGAAGGTAGGAGGGGGTGGACATGAAGCCAAGGTAGAGGCTGGAGGCTTGCCCAAGATCACAGAGCTACCAAGTGATAGAGCAGAGCCCCGGCCCTTAACCCTGTTCGTTGCCAAGGGCTTGGGTCAAAGCCCTGCTAGCCTACTTGGCTAGTTACAGCTCCGTCTTTCCCCACTCCCATTCAAAGGCATAGAGTTCCTCTAAACACTAGGGAACAATCATGACAGTAGAAACACTACTTGGAGCCTTCCCCTTCCCTTGTCTGAAGGTAAAGAGCACCAATCAGTAACTTCTGACTGAGGAGGATTCACTGGATTCTTGTACACTTTTCAGCTTTGGAAAAACAGGTGTGTTTTGGGGCACCTAGAGTAATGGTCATTTCACTTGTGTCCAATTCTCTGTGACCCCATTTGGGGTTTTCTTGGCAGAGATACTAGGGTAGTTTGCCATTTTCTTCTCCAACTCATTTTACAGATGAAGAAACTGAGACAAACAGGGTGAAGTGACTCCTCCAGGGTCACCCAGTTAGTGTCTGAGGCCAGAGTTGAACTGTCCTAACTCCAGGCCCTGTGCCCTCCCCACTGCACCACCTAGCTGCCTTTACATAATCGGGACTCAATCCACATTTGCTGTTGAGGTCATCATCGCCTAGGTTAGGGTTTGTTCTGGTGGATGTCAATCTTCTACTTCCTAACATTCTGGACTTTTCTCCACCATGACCTAGTACCCTCCTTTCCCCGGAAGATCCTGCTGCCCTTGCAGTACCTTCTGCTTGGTCAGTTTCTCCCAGCACCTGCATTTTAAGGAAGATGCCCAGGCCAGTCTTGTTCACTCCTTCCTTCCTCTCTGGGCTTCCCACCTGACTTTCTGGACTTTTTTTTTTCTCCCCCATTCTCCAGCATGGGTGCAGAACATTCTAGAAGTGAGGCCTCCTGCGTTCACTGCTCAGGCTCCCTACATCCCCCTATACCAAGTTTTAGAGAACAGCCTCTTAGCAGGAACAAAAGCACGCCTACCTCTGTATACTTCCCTAGCCCTAGCCTGGCCCCAGTGCTGAGTGAAAGCACCCTGCATCCTGGGCCCTGACGGAAAGGGAAGAAGGGATCAACTTGGGTTTGAAGTCTGTGCCAGCCATATCTATGACAAAAGGGAAGAGGATTACAATGAGAAGAAAAAATGAAACCTCAACAGTCAACAGTCAACAATCAACAAATGTTTCTGGTAAAAGAAACCATATGAGGGTAAAGAGGGCCCTGGGACCCCAGATTTAGAACTGGAAGGCATCTCTTCTGACCTCATTTTACAGATTAAGAATCTAAGGCCCAGAGAGATTAAATGACTCACCCCAGGTTATTAAGTGCCTGTAGGAGCAAAATTAAAACGTTGTTTGGCCACTGAAGCCCTTCTTAACCCACTCCCTGCTATCTTCCACCTCACTCCCCAACACATACTCTTTGCTTCAGTGACCCCTGCCTCCTGGCTGCTCCACAACAAAACACTCCATCTCTCTCCTCGGGGCATTTTCTCTGGTTGTTCCTAGTCCTTCCTCAGCTTCCCTGACTTCCTTCAAATCCCAACTAAAATCTCCCCTTCTACAGGAAACTTTGCCTAATCCCTCTTCGTGCCAGTACCTTCCCTCTGTTAATTATTTCCTATTTATCCTGTCTGGAGCTTGCTTTGTATGTATTTGTTTGTTTGTTGTCTCCCCCATTAGACTGTGAGCTCCTTGAGGGCAGGTTGGTACTCCAGCGCTCAGTATAATGCTTGGTACACAGTAGGTGCTTAATAAATGCTTATTGACTAACTGAAAGTAGGGAGAACCAGCTTCTCTGGCTCCAAATCCAGCATCCTCTCCACTGTACTATGCATCCAAAACCAATACATTGAACAAATATTATGGAGGGAAAGAAATAGTTTTCAAAATCTTCAAAGGAGACAGGCCGACAATGAATTCTTTCCAGACTCCTTTTCTTCAAGAAATGACAATGGAGCACCTGAAAGGAGCTCCCAAAATAGTTCAAAAGAACAATCACGGAACTAGAAAGTAAGGGCGGAATGTAGCACAGAAAGTAGAACTCTCAGAGAAGACATGAGTGAAACAAAAGAGCACATGCCAGAACTGTTCCAAGACAGTAAGTAGAATGAAAAAGAGAATGACCAATTTGGATTTACAGAACTGCAGAGCAGAAATGAAGGATACATCTAGGTGGTACAGCAGTGAATAGAGCACCAGCCCTGGAGTCAGGAGGACCTGAGTTCAAATTCATCCTCAGATATATAACATTTACCAGCTGTGTGACCCTAGGCGAGTCACTTAACCCCAATTGCCTCACCAAAACAAAACAAAAAAAAAGACATAAGAATTATAGATCTTCCACAGAAACATGAGGAAATGAAGTCTAAATATCAAACTTCAGGAAATAATTCAGGAAGATTGCCAAGAAATAATGGAAAGAGAAGCTTAATTTCAGATCACAGACCTAGATCTCCAAGCCATCTAGTCCTCTCTCTCCATTTTACAGTTGAATAAACTTAGGCCCATAGAAGTTAACTGACTTTCTCAAGGCCACATGGGGAGTAAGTGGCAGAGATGAGACGTGAATCCAGGTCTTCTGACTCTAACCCCAGTACTCTTTCCCCTGTACACAAGCTAGCCAGACAGAAATCTAAAACTGACCTCACCAAGGTATGCTGTGAACCAAAACAGAGACCCCAAACAGTAGATGACAGCTATTATGATCAGTCAAAAGAAAAGCCTTCATATACCAAGTAAAATCAGTCAGAATCACACAAGACTATTCCTCAGCTATGAGAAATTGAAGGCAAAAATGAAATATGATATTCTGAAAAGCAAAGGCAAAAACAATTCTATACTCTAAAGCATTTCCTTAAAAAAAATTCCTAAAAATTATTGACTGACTGAAAGTAGGGAGAACCAGCTTCTCTGGCTCCCAAACCCAGCATCCTCTCCACTGTACCATGCTTCCAAAAATAAAATTCCTAAAAATTTTCCTGAAAAATTTCCTTAAAATTTCCTAATCATCCATAAAAAATGGTTTTTATGCAAAGGGGAAAAATTCAGACCACTTACAAAAACGAGTTGAACCATACATTTGAAAACCCAAGATCAACAACTGAAAGAAAAAGAAGAAAGTTAAGTAAGTAGAGACGGCAAGAAAAAGATCAAGCAAAAAAATGCAAGCTTTTATACAACTAGGGTTTGGCATCAGCAACTTTCACCTGGTATGGAAAGAGAACAAAATGACAAGTAAAGCATCTCAGGGGGTCCAAAGAATCAGGGAGAAAAGAGGAAGAATTGTCTTAATAGTTCTTGAATAAGAGACTGCATTCCTTTGTTAACAAATTAATATTTTGGGGGTGGAGTGGGACATGATAGTTTTAGAAAGCTGCTTAGGCAGGAAGAAGGAAGGCAGTGGGATGGTAGGAATCAGGAGACACACATCTCCTGGCTCGAGCAA